CACACACACACACACATACCCCAGTGCATCACAGATTGCATTGCTCACATTCTTTGAAATAGTAAATAAAATACCATGTGACAAGTTAGAAACGGGACTTACGTGTGTATGGCAGTATAGGATCACTTTATGGAAACATTGAGGCAAACAAATTATATCCTTTAGCATTTGGCAAGGAGTGCAACTTTTAGAGGATCCAGGAACTGAATACAATTTCCTCAGCCGATCATTTCAACAGAGTGTGTGCATTTAGGTTACCCTGTGTGTATATTAGCACTGGACTGAAGTTTTGTTTTGTTTTTCATTTTTGCCTGTGACAAATTTTGAGAAAATAATAAAACCCTATGTGATAGTATAAGGGGGGAAAATGTTCATCACCATTGAATAATAATTTTTACCATGACGTTCCTGATGGCACTAACCTTATTTTAGACCCTAATTAGCTCAAGCCTGGATTATACCTATGAGGCAATCGGGTCCTCTGGCCCCAGTCTCCCTTCCCCTTACTACCATATGCACCCCACTGCTGGATTTGTCTTCTTTGATCATTACTTGCTGTGACAGTTAAGTTTGTGTGTCAACTTTGCTGGGCCTGGTTGAATGTCTGGGCAGCTGGATGTAGTATTCCCCATGATGAGACTGGTAATCAGCTCCATGGTGGAATCTACTGTGAGCAGCTCAGTACCTGCATTAGAGATGTGTTCTGCTTCCTGTATATAAGGAGAAGATTTGGGGAATGGTCTTGGCTTATGGCACACTTGAACCCTGCCTGTAGCCAAGTCATTGTTCAGCAGCCTGCATGTTCTGCTGAACTTGGGACTTTCAATGGACTTGAATTATTGGCCTGCCATGTGGTTTGGTAACAACGGGACTGTGCCATTTTATTTGTCGACCTTGGTCTTATTAGCCTCAGCAGCCAGTAGCTGCCTGAGTGAAGAGATGCCTCTAGCTTCAGTGGGCCAGGAGCAAGAGGTGGAGCTGAAGCCCAAGGTCGAGGGGCATTCACCCAGGCCCTAGAACCTGGCACTTTGAACTCAGACTTAAAGCCTCCAAACTGTAAGAGAATAAACTCCTGCTTGTTCAAGCCATCCCATTTGTGGAATTTTATTAGAGCTGCACTAGGAAACCGGAACACTTGCCCTCTAGTAATCAAGGGACTCCCTGTGCACTCATTACTTTATCATTCCCTTATTCAAGGCCTGTGATGTGGTGTGTTTAGCTACATATTGGCTCAAGTCCACATGTTTTTGATCTAGCTTTTTTAACTCATCATAATCTGACTGTCTCTTGTCACTGTTTACTCTCGACATGCTAATTGCTCACCACTGCAGTAAAGGGTTCTCATTCCCAACATTTACCAACTCTTTGCTAAATGCTGTTTCCCTATTGTTCCTCCTCTCTTTATTCTTCTAAATAGTCCCCAAGCATCAAGGCATAGCTTGGCTCCAGGCAGACTTTCCTCACTACTCTACCCCTCACTTTTGAGCACTTTCTTCTCTGGTTTCATGAATTTTTATCTTATTATTTCTTATCTATTAGTCTTACATTCCCACCTAGAACATCAGATCTTCTAGGGTGAAATCATGTCTTAGAAATCTCTTGAGCCCTCTATCTATCTGACTATAGCAGATTCTCTGTCAATGCTTTCTGTTAAGCATTTTAGACAAGCAGGAGGATGAGAAGGCCAGCAACATCCAAGCCACAGCTGGTAAGAACATCAGTACTGTCTCTAGGCCTGAGTCTCATCTTGTCTTTGTGCTCCACATCACTGTACCACTAAATTGTTACTGACTACATCCTCTTCAACTTTGTTAAATTAATCCCTTCTCAATAGCCCTGTTCCTAAGTCTGATCCACCTCCAACCAAGTTCATGATACCTTTTTAACCACCTCTGTTACTCCAAGGACACAGTCATAATGAAAATTTTAATTTTAATTCCACCTCTTTTCTCTCCAAAAGAGAAATTCTCATTTTTATTTCACTTGAGACACCCATTTCCAAGCATGCAAGTAAGGCTGATACCCTGTAGACACTTCATCTGGGGATACTCTCTTCCCATATTAATAACTCAAGTCCAGATATCCCTGCCCCTCATCCCAGTGAAGACTGCAAAAGATAACTGGTTTCCCTGACCTTCAGTCCCCTCAAAATGGCCACAGTGTGGAGGATAATACCTCCAAGTTGTGGGATCTTCCCACCTACATGCCTTCCTCTAACTTCTTACATTGGAGTCCAACAGAGGCCACTTTCAACTACATAAACCTTCCCCAGGAATTGAAATTCCAGCTTTTTAACAGGGAGCAGTGACTCTTAAGGTGGCAGGAACTTCCTGGGAGTTCCAAGGATCCTGCTCCTTCTCTCTCTGACCATTCTTGCCTCACACTAGATGTCCATACCTAGTGGTCCTTAAACTAACATCCCAATTTTGACCTTCGTAATTGTTTCCTTTGTACAATTTCTCCTTAGTTCCTTACAGTAGGAACTAATATCTATCAAGCAAAGCACTTATTTGTTTCATTGCTAGTGCTCCCAAGAGAAGTTTTTTCCTATCAATGACAGGAGATTCAGGTCTCAGAAACTGAGCCTTCTTTTCTCCCCCACTTCCTCCCAACCACCCCTGCAAGGAATTAATTCACTCCTACAAGGACTTTTCTGACCAGCCTTCGGCTCCCCACTGGTCATCCCCTCCTTTCCAGCACACATAGTAGGCACCCACCTAAGGCAAATATTCTCCACCTCACTCAGCACTCCTGGCCAGCATGCTAAATCAAGAAGTTCCCAGCCTTGCACCCTCCATGGGATATCTTTCTTATGGCAGAAGCTAAGCTCTTTCTTTAGAGATTTCCCTTCCACTGAGGCTCACTTGGGGTCCGCGCCCCTGGGGCTAGAGCGCAGCTGCGCCCAGCGGCCCAGCACTCTGCTCCCACAGGACCTCAGTTGTCCACTTGCTTGCAGAAGCGATTGACAGTGGAATCCTTCCTCCCTCAGGCCTCCCCACGCCCCCACCAACAGTCTGCAGCAGGTGCAGTCCTGGGTAACCAGTTGCTTGATCCTGAACCTGCACTCTCTCAGTTGTCAGAGTTCTTTGATCTGCCCCTACCAACCCGGTCCACTCGTTTCCCGATGTCAGAGCGGTTCAGGTTTCACTCTCCCAGCAGTTTCAGTCCCAGAATTTCCTCTTGGCTCTAAGGTGTCCAGCGAAGCCACTTACCGAGGACGAGGGCCAGGAGTAGTGGCAGGCAGCTGGCGCTGCTGCCCCGGACAGTCCGGTCCATCAACCCCTCTGTGCAAGGCCTGGAAGCCCCTAGATGTGTCGCCCTCCTCTTCCTTCAAGCCCTTTGGAGCAGCGGGCGCCGCCTGGGTGCCTGGAAACTAATCCGGGAGCCAGGAGGAAGCGAAACTACTCTTCAAGCTGGCACCCTGGCTACAGGGCAGGGGAACACCCAGGGCGGGCGGGCAGGCGGGCGGCTCTGTGAGTGGAGTGTGGCATGGAGAAGACAACCTCCTATTTTTCCCCACTGCTTTTGCGCACACCCCACCAGCTAGGCACAAGAGTGAGTCGTGGTAGCCTTCACGTTGCTGTCACCCAAATAACCCCACACCCACAGCCAAGGACCTGTGGAGGCTGCCCTTGGCCCAGCTCACCCACTCCCCCTGCTGGGTCGCACCTGACTGTTCATTTCCTTGCCCCCTTGGGGAGTAAACAAGGTGAAGAGGAGTGGAGAATACACATGGAGGGGGGTCAGAGGTGCAGCACAGAGAAAGTTACTCTAAACTTCTGGAACCCACTGAAAGGGAGTCAGGGACCCAAACGGGTTTGGGAATTCTCACATCTTATTTCAGCTGACTGCTGATGTCATGGAAAAATAAAGCCAACATTGACTGTGGTTAAATTCAGGCCTTTCACAATTTGCAAACTTTTCTGTTACATACACAGGCAATTTCAGGAGAGTCATTGGTGTCTGTAAAAATCTTAAAGCTAGCATCTTAGTTTTCAGTGTGCTTTGTCTTCTAAAAATTTGTTGAATAGCTGGGGTTTTTTTTTTGTTTGTTTGTTTCTGTTTTTATTTGTTTTGATCTACTTTAGAAATTTCATTTATATTTTTATCTATTTATTTTCCAATTTATCTATTATATTTTCATTTAATTTATTTGTTTTCTTATATTCTTCATTTTGCTTGTGTCTACAAAAGTAAGGAAGGCACCTTGATGGCACAATAGTTAAGCCCTCTGCTGCTAACCAAAAGTTTGTCAGTTTGAACCCACCCAGTGTCTCCACAGGAGAAAGACCTGGTGATCTGTTTCAGAGAATATTAGTCTAGAAAACCCTTTAGGGCCATTCTACTCTGTCACATGAGGTTAATATGATCAATATGTTTCTCTCCTCTAATAAGAAGAATAACATAAAAAATAAGGAGAATATTTTTTGTTTGTGGCTTGCCAAGCACCATCTCTACTTCATCACCCCTTCACTTAGGGAGAGGTAGAATCTGATGGCTCTGCACCAAATATATTTTGGAGCACAAAGATGTCCTCAAAGTTTTCAGAGATAGAAAGCAATATTCAATTTCACCCTTCATGATAATATGTCTATCTCCAAAATAACTAAAGGGTACAGTTATTATGTTCCTCTGAAACTCACTGACATTGAGTCGATCTGACTCATAGCAATCCCTCCTTGGGTTTTCAAGGCTGTATCTGTATGGAAGTAGATTGCCCAACCTACCAAGAACAATGTATGTAACTGAAGAAAACCACCAAACTCACTGCCATTGAGTCAGTTCTAACTCCTAGTGACCCCCATTGGGTTTCCAAAGCAGTAAATCTTTATGGAAGTAGATTGCCCCATCTTCCTTCTGCAGAGTAGCTGGTGGGTTTGAACCACCAGCCTTCTGGTAAGCAGTCAAATGCCTTAGGTATTATACCACCAGAGCTCCTTATATATGTGATTATGTACCCTCAAACAAAGTTGTATTTCTGTGGAATCCAAAAGTCCAATAAACATTATTTTCCATATGAAATGCAGTTCAGGTGTCTGCCCCTTCCTCCCCACTGTTTAAATTAAATTAATATGAACTTTTCTCCCACACATGACATTTCATTTTAAAACCACTTCTAATTATTTTAGTGCCTCAGCCAACCAATATATCCAGAGGAATAAAAACCAACTCACAATTTGCACAACCCAAATTCCCTCTTGGCACAACAGCTAGTAAAACATTGGCAGAGAGAGTAGTCAAAGAGTTTAGAGAAAACCAAGGTTGTAGGATAGTAGGTTATTGCATCCCACATAAAAAGGACTGAAACACGAGAAGCAAGAGATTTGCCATCACCTCCCTCCTTTTAACAACACCATTCTCCCTTTGTCCTCTCCGATATTCTCTACTTCTCTCATTATCTAGGCCCTATGTTAAGGCATTTCCCACTCCAGCATGTCACCCTAACCAATAACCTTCTTGCTATTCCAAGCAGAATATTACTACTTTGTTTCCTTTTCCATAGATACTAATGAAAAATGAAGTACACCTAAATAAAAATTATTAAATGCCTATTGACCATTGTAAAGTGTCAGGACTTGTTCTAAGTAGTCATTCATGCCATTCAAATAAATTATTCTTTTCAGACCACTGGAGTATGATACAGTGTCATTATATATATATATATATGTTGTTGTTGTTGTTATGTGCCGTCGAGTCAAACCTGACTCATAGCGACCCCTCCTTGGGTTTCCGAGGCAGTATCACTACGGAAGTAGG